TAGGAGACCCAAACCAAACCAAACAACAACACTCACGTTTTGTCACCTTGGACTCTGTCAAAAAATAAATTGTTTTTATTGTTTTTCCAAGAAAAAAAAAATCAATTCGCGTCTGTCCTACTAAAAAAAAAAACCAATAGGATAAATAATTAGTGCGTACCATTGATCATTCATAAACTTCTTTTTAATTAAAAAATTTTAAATCATGCCCAAAGAGAAAAATAAGAATATTAAAAGAGGCAATAAGATTACTCACAATAATAATATCATCCAAGGGTAAGTGTTTTAAGGATGGTGGTGGTAGTTATCGCCCGCCACCTGTTGTCACTCTAGTTACTATTTATATTAATTTAGACGTTTAGACATTTTTGTCTAAATACTATTTTGACTTTAGACAACCCAAAAACAATTTAGACTCCCATCTATATCCAAAACGAACAAAAACTATTGATAAAGCAGAAAATATAGATGATAGTAGGACAGATTCAGAATATGATGAGGAAGATTTAAACTACGACGACGATTTAGACTATGATGATGATAATGATGATGTAGATTATAGTAACTACGATATCGATCCAAATATTGAGTTATCAGAAAAACAGATACCAGTCCAAAGTCACTTAAAGTACCCCAATAAAGACAGTCCAGACAACATTTGGAAGTTGCCTTCTGGCAAATCTATTGATAAAATAATTCATGGCCCTAAAAATCTGCACAAATCGCAGTAGGTTTTATCTTCTTTATTTCTTCTCTTCATGTCTCTTGATCTAACAAATTAGCCTGTGTAATTTGTACATAGCCTGTCATGTCTAGGTATTTTATGCATTGGATCAAAAATCAGGAAGCCGGAATGGATTAAGCAAGAGGATTGGGATTATTTAAATTCAAGTGTTGAATATCCACATTACAATTTATCAACCGAAATTGAAGATCTATTCAATGTACTATTAGAAACTGTAAGTACAAATAGTACAAATGCTCATTTATTTTAATGAAAATGTTATTTATATATTTTTATTATTAATCAATAACAGAATTCATTAAATGAGTATAAAAATTGTCTTTATAATGTCACATTTGACCATGAGAAAAATATAGAAATGACATTTGTAACAGATATCCTATTATGGTTGTAAGTATAAAGGTTTTGTAGAAGTACTGTTTATTTCTCACAATTTATTTTTTAATTTATTTTAATTTTGAAGTGCAAAAAACATATTCAACACTACATTGGCTTTCCATAGCAGGGTTGGCAAATTGACTGGTCCATTGAGAAAGATGGATTTTGGACTGGTCCATTGCAATTAATAAAATACTAAATATGGTCAAAGTGTTACACTAATGGACCCAATGGACCACCAATAGACCATCAATGGACTGCACATTTGCCAACCCTGTTCCATAGTATAAATAAGAATGAAGCATTGTTGGGATCGCTTATGATTCATCCAGTACTACAATACCTTGTGAATGCAACCAATCACATTATATACGTGCCGTATGTTTTTTGATTAAAATATCAAATTAATACTTTCATTCTTCTTTATAATATTAAATATGCAAGTTTTTTCAAAAAATAGAGGTGAGATTTATCTTAAAGCTAGTTCAAATCAGCGATTATTACGACATAACCTCAAACCTGATGATGATAAACCCTTGGGCATGAAAGTTGATGGTTCTTTCCAGTCTCCAAATGATAAAGGGCTAGAAATCGGCATGGTTGAATTATCCGGTGGATACTTAACCAAGGATACACCTCGTTATTTAAAGGATCATGTAAAGGGAAATTGGGGATGCCATGATCTCCTTAATGAAATAATTACAAAATACAATCATGGTGACTATAAAATTCTGAGACATTTACATGTTTGGTTTTTCCATATACATGGTAAGTTAATAGATAAGCTGAATCTTAATTTTTGCATTTGTTAATAAATTGTCTTTGCTTGTGCATAGGTCTTGAAGTACAAATATGGGGCATGGATTTGCCCATTGCAAAAACTTATCAAATGTTTCTTATTGATGCATTTTATCTTCCAATCAGTTGGGATAACCATTATGAACTGGTCCACGCGTTAAGGGTTTTGCAAATCTTAGGGTAAGAAAGATCTTCATTCCTTTGTATTGAAGGTATTGGAATATCTCATTTTGATCATTATTCATTTTCATACAGAGAGGTTTAGATGATTCTCTTGAGGTACTCAAGGAATTCAAAAAGTCACATCGCCAAAATACAATTATATGCTTTCAATCTCCAACACTAAAAAGATATATCAGTCAGACAAGATTTCACGCTTACTGATTTTACTATGTGATCGACATAGCACGTTTTCCGTACAACAGACT